TCATTTTCACCATTACACTGAAGGAAGAAACCTAGTGCACGTTCATTCGGAATTACCATGATTTTCCATGGTAACATGCGTACATATACAGGAGGGGAGAGATGTTGTTGCTTTAGCTGTGAAATATTCTCGACCGTGTACGAAAATGTCGCTTCTGACCGAAACTGATCGTCCTTGGGATCGTCGACGGACGTCATCTCCTGTTCGTTGGCGTATGGCGAAGTGGTGTCGGCGAGTAGTTGCTGCGGCGGTACGTTGCCGTTCTCGTTAGGCAGCTGTGCTGCTGGCAAATGCAGCTTGTTTAGTTGTTGTTGCTGATGTTGCAGGTCGCTTGTGATTATTTCGACCTCTTGTGTGTCCATTGCCTCTATCGATTGGTCGGGCTCGATTTCCATTTTCTCGTCACAATTACGCTTTAAATTCAATTTTACAGCGCCCCGCAACCGCAATTTTCGTTCCAACACTTCGTCGTCGCTGCGATTTGCTGTATCTTTGGCTACACGGCGACCTTTTGCTAAATCCCTCACTATGAACCAGAAATGAACAAAAAATTTGTCAATACGTCAGACGTGAAAGTGAACATGAAAAAATATTATTTATTTTTCAATTTTCCAATCATTCTCACTATGGAGCAAATGATGAAGGGGAAATGGAAATATTCGTAAAAATGTGATTCTCTTATGTTGTCCACATTCTTACCTGTCAAAATTATGTCTTATGTTTCCCTTCTTCGTTCTGCTCTTGTATTTTTTTTTGTGTTTCTTTCACTTTGGCACTCGACAGGCGGCCGCTAACACCCCGCACAAAATGTTCCTNGTTTCTTCCACTTTGGCACTCGACAGGCGGCCGCTAACACCCCGCACAAAATGTTCCTTTTCTACTGTCTTTATCTTTTATTTTTAACTTTTATTTCTGATTTTTTTACGATTTATTTTCTGCTTCTATTGACGTCTACCTTTCTATAGCTNTTTTCTACTGTCTTTATCTTTTATTTTTAACTTTTATTTCTGATTTTTTTACGATTTATTTTCTGCTTCTATTGACGTCTACCTTTCTATAGCTTTTAATATTGGGCTTTTTTGTTTTTTCTTTTGTGCACACTTTTAAATGCTTATAGCAAATTGTTTTTCAACTTCTATATATCGCCGATGCAATGATGAAGAAGGCTAATTTCCTCACCAAAGGCAAACGCAGAACCAGAGGAACACACAACACAATTAACGAAGACAACGGCGGACGAGGTATAGATGAGATGAGTTGTGGTAAAATGGGTAGACAATGCAACTTCGCCAAATTCCTCTTCTGGACTTTCGACGAATTTTTCACGCAGACTTTACTTTATATTGTGTGCAGTTAAATTATGTTTTTTCTTTTGGAAGATGCTTACC